GACGATAATTATTGCTTAGTTTATTATCGTGTTGTCATATGTCTGGAAGAATAAAAAAAAAAAAAAAATTTATATATATGTATACACTGTTTTATTATTATTATTATTATTATGATTATTATTATTTTTAATCTCTTATTTTATTTTCGTCATTAATTTCTAAATAATGTTGTTGTAATATTTATAATTCTATGACACATTAATCGTACGTATACACGCACTCACGCACACGCACACGCACACACATAACGCAACACGCAATTTAATAAAACGAATTAAGTAAACAATCAATGTGCAAATTATATTACCGCAATGCAGGATAATAAAACTTAAGGAATAATATGTGATTAAAATATAACTGTTTATTATTTTTCTTTTGTTTTTGCTTTTTGTTTTTTGTTTTCTTCCTTTCCCCTCTTTTAAATTGTGGTTACAAATTTACATAAGATTCATAATTATTATTTACATTTCTATATACACAGATCTTTAAAATGTTATTTCAAATAATGTCATTTAAATTTTCACACGTCAACGTACTTTTTATTTAAATGAAAACTAAATCAAAAAATTCGTAATTTGAACGATAAATTATCTGTCAACAAAATGGCCGGGATTTTGGTAATTTGTTAAACGTATAACAAATTGACTAATTTGTAAATATTCGTGTAATTCGTTTAATAAAAAAAAAAAAAATCCAATATGAAAATGTGAATAAAAAAAATGTATATTATTTAAAGAAGATAAACAAAACTATATATATTGTTTACCATTCAATTGAGGTTATAAAATCTTATTTTATGATAACCCTTTTGCATTCGAAATTATATTTCACATTTTACTTTTTCTTTACGAGAGGTTCACCCCCCCCCCAACGCTTTTAAATGTTTTATTTTATGAAATTAATAACTTTGACTCAAAGAAAAACAGAAAAAAAATATAAGGTAAATTTAAATAAACAAAAGGAAGAAAAAAAATTCAAATCAAATGTCCGTTTGTATATTTATGCTAATGTTGTGCAAGAGTGCTTAAGATATATGTTGTTTTTTTTTTTTGTTTAATGATTTAATTAACATTTCACGGTAGAAATGCAGGAAGTGTCGATAGGTTTAATGGTAAAAGAATTTATTACTTTTAAATAAAAACTTTAAAAATGCAACGCGTAACACACACACACACACACACACACACACACACACGGCTGTAGAGAAATATTTATATGATTTCATAAAAAAAAAAAACCTGTTCACATTAAACATTTCGTTTCGTACTTTCTAATGTCCAGTAATTGATACTTTCCAGTATCTAATAATTTTATTTAATATTATTACTTTATATATTATTTATTTTATATTACATTATAATGTTTGTGAAATTATTGTGCGCATTATTTCACTTTAATGCTACATATTTTTACGTACCAAGTAACACAAAATTTCTTTCAAACCGGTTTCTGCAATTTCACATTCACCGAGAGTTCAATCAGATAAAAAATATTACGAAATATTTTCTTTCGATGTATTGGAAAAGATGGAGTTAATAACACTTATATATTTCTTAAGTTTAATGTATAATCATAAAGAAACTCAACGAATGAGAGTAAAGTTTCAAAAACATTTAAAAAAACGCGAATATTGAATAAATTATTGTTTATTTTTCTTTAATATACTTCAATTAATTTATTTACTTTAAAATTGATTATACTGAATTAATATTTAACGAGCAAAAAAATTGACTCAACAAAACTGTACTTCTCGTAACGGTTAAAACAAAGCTACTACGATAATATATTTGACTTTTACCGTTTTTAATATTTAATCATAATTATTGTTTTATGGTGGAAACACATAATTATTCCATAATTTCGTTCTTTGCCAATTATTTTTATTCTACAGGTTTTTTTTTTTTTTCTCGTATTTACTTTAACACCGCCATTTTTTATTCCTTTCACTTGTTTCTAACCTATTAAATTGAAAATTAAACGCGTACCACGTGACGTAAAATGGCCGCCGTTCTGTAATTTATACAAAAAAGCAGGAAAGAAAATATACAAAATCTGCATATCATATTCATCTAAAAATAAATGAAAATATTTTATTTACTATTTATAATTGACTTAAATCTCATTTTATATACACGTATTGTCAGTAGATTTAAATGTTAAACATTAAAACTAATTAAAACTTGTCTTTCAAGTAACATCTTTTTATACATTATACAATTGAGTTAACTTAAAAAAACTCAATATGGGACATTTATTTGAGATTTGTGCTGATAAACGTGTAATAATAATCTCATTATTATTACACATTGTCAGTATTACATAATTATTAATTAATTGCACGTTATTCCACGAACGTTTTACAGAATCTATTTATAATACGAAAAACAAATTTCAACTGAGAGAGAAAAAAAAAAATTATATCATTGTCAATGTCTGTCAATTTATTCCACCTCATCCCCACCCCACACACACACACGGTTCTCCTATCGAACACATCGAAACAAAGTGGATTTTTATTTTTTGTTCGTTTTTATCAGCAATCTATTATACGAATTGAAAAAAAATTATTACGATACACATCTATTTATATATATATATATATATATTTTCATAAAAATCTTA